CATAACACACAAGATATGGTTGAATTCATGAATGGTGAAATCAATAATCAATCAGCCAATGCTTAGACATCTCCTGACATTCAAGATATAAGGACCCTTAAGAAGTTTCCGTGTCATAGTCAAAAGGAAGGCCAGTCTTAGCTCAGTCCCTTTTATTTCTAGTGCTACTTAAACATGTGAGTTGTTGATTTATTAATTTGAACCTTCTGTGTCTCAGGCTTTCTCTTTTTTTTAACTTATTCATAAGTAATTCAAGCATCAGTAAACATTGAGACAATAACTGTTAGATAAATATTAGGTTAATAGTGATTTATGCTTAGCACAATAACCAGTACATGATTAAATCTATGAAAATATACTTGTAAGATGCGAAGATGTTGAGAAATTGATTTGATTTTGAAAGGCAAGCAAACATATTGCTAGTTGGGAAGTGATGTTGTTTTTTTACTGTTTCATTTCTACTCTTTCATTCAAAAATTATTTATTGAATATTTATTGGATTAAAGTGAAAGATGAGCATGCCCTAGTCCTACCAGCAAGAGAGTAGCATTAAGGGGACAAACACAAAACAGCAAAGCTAATTCTAACAGACACAGGATGTAATAAATGCTGCAGACGCCAGTGGGTGTGTATGGAGTCTCCAACACACATTATCTTTCTGTAAATGTATTCTCTGATTAAAACCCTGACTCATCTGTTCATTACAGCAGAGTTTCCAGAAATAACACTGTTCACAGATTTTCTTTTAAATTCAGAGTGAAATGTGTATCTCTATTTCTGTTCAATGGAGAAAAGAAGGCTAAGGCAGCTTACCTATTTCTCAAGAAGATCAAGAAATTTTGCACTTGAAATTAGGTTATCTTTTGGAAAAGGATTCATACATTTTACAGAGATTATTCTTTTTTTTGTCTAACAGTACAAAGAAAAATTTCTTCCTTCATTATAATGAGAAATCATATTCTTCAAAACCTACTTGGTTGGGTTTTTAAAATAATAAAAACAATGAAATTAATAAAAAGTAACTAAAATGTTAATAAATCCCATGTACTTCAAATAATTCAATTAAAATTAAAGCTAAAGAGAAAAAACAATAAAACAAGGGGATTTAATGAAAATTGAAGGGAGATCAGTAGAGTGGAGGTAGGTGATCAAGGGGGGGTAGAGGGGAAGAACTGGGGAATGAAGTTAACCAAATTATGCTATGTGCTCATATAAATATATCACAACACATTAAATTTTATTTAAGACCAATAGAGTAGAGGAAAGGGATGACAGGGAGGGAAGAACGGAGAGGAAACTGGAAAATATTGGGATTGAAATGGATCAGACTATGTTCTATGCATTTATAAATATGTCAAAATGAAGCCCACTGTTATGTATAAGCATAATGCACTAATAAAAACGTTTTTCAAAGAAGGTTAAAAAATAATTCAGCTGAAAGCAATCATAGATACTGTATATACTTTCTGTTAATTTATACTTTACAGTAATTTTTATTTTCTACTTTACAGTAATTTTTATTTTCTATCTTTCTTATTATCACGGTTAATATGGTGTTCCCCAAAAGCGCACCTTAGGCAATACTAGAAGGTTTGGAGGAGAAATGATTGGAGTACAGTATTAACCTAATAAGTGAATTAATCCCCGATGGGATTAACTGAGTGGTAATTGGAGGCAGGTGGGGTGCAGCTGGAGGAAGTGGTCACTGGAGGGGTGGATATGGAGTATATATTTTGTATCTGGAGAGTGAAGTCTGTTTTCTGATCATCATGTGAGTTGGTTTCCTCTGCCACACTTTTCCACCATGATGTCCTGCCTGCTGTCTAGGGAATGAGAACTCTGTAATCTTGAGCCCCTCAGTAAACTTTTTCTCTTCTAACATTATTATTGTCAGGTCCTTTAGTGTCGGCAGTGAAAAAGCTAACTAAAACCCTTATGGATTCCTAGGGATAACAGTGAAAAAAGTGGAAATAAAACATAATGAAAAAAAGCCCCAGACTAAGAATCAAGAGACCTTGATTCTGGACACATTTGATTACCAATTTTTAACAAGTTACTGAAGGTCTTTGAATACTGTCTGTGGAGCAAAAGTTAAGGAGCAGCCTAGCCTGACTGGTGATCAACTTAAACACCATAGCATATAAAGTACCTGTGGAATGCCCTGTGAAATAAGTTTCAAAAAAAAACTTTGAAAGGGCACCCCCCCAACAATAATTCTGCCTTTGACATTAAATACACTATTTTCTTTATATTACTAAAGCAGTAAATGAGGCATTGAGCTACAGGAAAAACTACTATCAAAATAAAAATTCTTCATGGAAAGAAAATAAGATGCTCTGGAGTCACAACTGAAAGCATCCTGCTTGCTATCATATTTCCAGTTTTTTAAATGTTATATAATCTGAATGTATTCAAAAAATTCCAAAGGCAATAAAAAAGTTCATGCTTCACTTTTCTTTTTTCCTTTTCTTTAAAAGGACTCTTACTTGAAATATACATTCTGCATCGGTACTCAAATGCTAGGGGTTGATTTGAAAAATAACTTCCACCCACACAAAGCCAGTTTAGATTTTTTTTAATGGCTGAAATTTTAAAATATTTTAACTTATAATTTTGAGGTTTAAAATATGTAAAAATTAATTTAAATGAATTTAGTTTTGGTTGGCTGTTTTATTATTGTTGTTTTGTTTAAGTATTAATGTTCGTAGTAAATGGTGAGGATCATAAAGGCTAAGGAAATAGCTCATAGTCATATAGCTTGCAAGTGGTAAGGCCAAAACATGCAACCCAGAAATTCATACTTGATCATTTTCCATTACAGCAGATCATAGTTGTGGCTATTGACATAAAGAAAACATGTATTCTTTCATTCAGCATATAGTTAGTTAGAGCCTAGCCTATTAGTGCTGTAGTCCAGCAGTAAACAAGAGACAAAATTCTGATGATGTCCTGGTAAATGTTGACAACTGGCTGAGGAGAGGAAAGGGTAGGAAGGAGAGTTGTATTTGCTCCTTCCTGAAAAGTAAAAACTCCTGTTATGACAGCTTTTGAGCTACCATACCAACTCTGAGTTGGGAGCAGATATGCACATTCATTTCTTTTGAGCCTGTTGGCTCCAGCAAACCCCTGAAGAAAACTTCTTCTCAAGTCCAGAATTGGCAGATAAAGAGAAGCAACATTTCACACCAGCAACAAGTATGTCAGATGCTGAAAGGTGTTATGGAGGGGAAAAAAGAAAGGCAGGAAAGTTGCATAGGCAGTGTGGGGTAGGAAGGGACAATTTTAAATAGGATAGTCAAAAAAGACTCCCTGAAAAGATGGAGTTAGCATTTGCTGAATGGGAGAAGATACTGAAGAGAGCAATTCTGGAAGAAATATCAGAGGTTCATTTGAAATATAGATAGTTTGATATGCCTATTTGACATCTATTTGGAAATTCAGAACCAGGTTTATGAATCTGGTTTCAGGGAGAAGTTTGGTTTGGAGATAAAATTGTTTGAGTATTCAAATACCGATAATATTTAAAGCACTGGGACTCAGTGGGAGCACCAGGAGAGTAAATGAAATTTCATTTAAAATTTAATTATCTATTTAACAAACACATGTACCAGCACTGTTATCAGTGCTTTGCTGGTATAAACTCAATGAAACTATTGTAACAACCCTGGGATCGGGATCATGTTATTTTTCCCTTATTCTAACTACAGATAAGAATTATGCATCTGAAAACAAACTAAGCACTACCTAACTACAGGTGGGTGTTGGACATAACTTCATTTGGGACTCATCAGCCCTTACAAATGAGGAGTAATGTGAGCTCAGCTATTTACCATCAAAGCACAGAGAGGTTAAGTAATTCATCCACATTCACAAATAAATTGCTACTAACTAGTAGATCTAAAATTTCTAACTAAAGCTCTCTGGATCCAGAGTTCTGTTTTGACAAGAGAAGTTGTGTAAAGGCCCGAGACTTCGGGCACTGTAACATTTAGAGGTGGAGGAATGAGGCAGATCATTAAGTCTGATTTATAGCAAGTAACACATTTTACTTTCCCCTCAAATTCTGACTATGCTCAGATAGAGTATAAAAAAAAATAGAAAAGCAATGATTTGTTTGTCTTTATACTTTTCCATACTATACTTTCTATAATAAGCCCAGAAAGATTCTAGAATCAGGAAAGGTAAAATAGTAGAAACAACATGTCATTCTCTGTTTACAACACAGCTCAATGAGAAGGAACAATGGTAATGATCAGAGAGACTGAAGTAAAGTCTCTGTTTACAATGTGAAGGGGGTTAGCATGTGATTTGTTGTCTGAACTAGAATAATTGAGAGTAAAAGGGAGCACTATCAATTACACCATGATAGCAGCTTTAAGTTAGGATTACTTAAACACACCTACTACAAACATACCTGCACACTGGGTATGCTCTTAAGAACTGAGTTTGTATGAGTAGGAGGGTACAGATTCACTTGGTCCATGCAAATTACCAACCACTGTTGCTGCTGCCTTGCTGTTCCTTGTTGGTCAAATACACCTTTATTGATCACTGTCATTTAGGTTACGCCCCCCCCCCCCCAACTATTCATTAGAGCTAGGCATAAGAAAACAAACTGAGCACAACCTTACTCTTGGTGGGTATTGAAGATACTGCATTTGGGATGCATCAGTACTTAGAATGAGGAGGAATAATATGAGTTTCAGCTATTTTAATTATTAAAGTCTTATTTCAAGGATTTGGAAAGAAATACTAAATATTTTAAAGCTTTAAAGAAATCAAATAAAAAATCACTTTACACAGTGCTTAAATATATTTTTAATTGCTCAGAAAGAATTCTCTTAATTCCTATTCTAACTTAAATGAACTAGAAAGAGATAAACTTCAAAGTATCCACTTGTACTTCCTAAGCTACTTTTAGTATTATATAAGCATAACTTTGATGTGGAACTTATATAAAACAGAATGGCAAAATGGAAATACAAGGGAATATACTGTACCTTGTTCTACCTGTAAGGAACACACACCTGACAAAAGGCAATTTTCACATCCAAGGTTGGTTCACTGCAGTAGTATAAGAAATGAAGGCTCATAAATACCTGCAGTTAAAAAGAAAGCCATGAATTGTCCAAATCAATGATTTTTTAAACAAATTTAAAGTATAGTTTAATATGATCTAGATTATACACAAGGTATCATGCACAACATATATTCACCCTAATCCCTATTCAAACAGTACCTAGTACTTTTCATGAATTATAAATATTAATTAATTAATAAAAGGTGATTAAATATTCCATATTGTATGATGATTATTGTAATCATAAAAATGCAATATAAGAGACTATGTATATCTAATAAGCTACAGCAAGGTATATCCTATTATATAGCACTTTCAATTCTAGGCATCTAATTAAAAAACAACTCAAACATGCTCAAGAGAATATATATGGAAGTTTATTATAGAATAAAAGTACTAATGTAATTTATATAGAATTCTATGACAGACTTGAGATAATTGCATTAGAACTTACAGTATAATTACAGATAAACTTTTCAAACTTGAGGTTGAGTGGGGAAAAAACAAGTTTGTAAAAGGCATGAAGATCACTGTATTAGTATAAACTTTAAAAGTATATAAAAATTATAATGTATTTTATGTACTTAAGATAATATAAAAATATATTATCTTAAGTACATAAGACCATAGAGTAAAAAAGGGGCCCAGTATATCAATATCTATGTCCTCAAAGTATTAAGAAATAATTATATTATTTCTGTATGTTTGAAATATATCACACTTTTACAAAGTTTTAAGAGTCAACTAATGAATGATGGCAATGCCAGATTAAGTACTGGGTCATTTGGCAATACTGCAGCAGCAGCAGAGAAACCCACCTGAAATTTTATTCAGTTTCATTAAACATTTATTGAAGGAAAGACACAATTTTTATGAGGTTAAAGCATTTTACAACTAGTATTGAGGCAAGACTTTTGTTTCTGGCAATATGATAGATTGGATGTGCTGAAAATCACTTACAGTGCAAAATTCCTAAAAATGTTAGGTGAATATACAAAATATTTTAAGTGCATATTTAAGCTACTAAAAGAGGCCAGAAAAGTTCTTAGAAGCTGAAAACAATGTGAAAAGATACATGTAGAGAAGTAAATGAGCTGAAGCTGCTGCACCTTCCAGGCCATCTGCTGATGTCTAATGACTGGAACTTTAATTTCTAAAGCAAAACGTGCAGAGTACAAGAAACAAAGCTTCCTTGTACCTATGGTAGGAAGTTCACTTTGGAGATACTTGCATAAACCTTACTAGAGGAATTTTAACATAATATTTAGAAAGAAGCAAAACAATACTTAAAGAAAGATCTGAATTGTAAGAAAAAATATTTTGCATTGGATGCTGATCTATATGTATTTTCAGTTTAAGGAACAGTGAAAGGATACAAATATATAAGACAAATATGCCTGAAAAAAAGAACAATGTGGGGTTTGGGGTGTGGAGGAGAGAAATGCTGTATCAAAATTCAAGATTTATTATCAAGCTGTAGGAAGTATAGATATTACTACCAGTAAGTATGTGGGATTTGTACAGAGATAGAATATCAACAAATAGAATAGAGAGCCCAGAAAAGACACATACATAATGAAAACCTGGTTATGTTGAGGTCTGTATTGCAGACATCAGAAGAAGCTGTATGTTAAATCATGCTAAGATAATTGATCATTCATATACAAGGCAGCAAAGGAGGTCACTACTGGAAGACAATTCTCTAAGAGCCTCTTGCATTTCTACATGACTTACAAACAGAAGCACTGGCTGCTGTTTGTTCTACTCTCCCTTCTCAAAGATGGTTACAGAGCAGACATCCCTGGAATATACAGATAGTATGTTCCTCTGGTACAAAGCCCAAGTTTGATTTTTTAAAGGAAAACATGCAGAGTACAAGAAACAAAGCTTCCATGTACCTATGGTGGGAAGTTCACTTTGGAGACACCTGCATAAATCTTACTAGAGGAAGTTTTAAACAAATTTTGGAAGGAAGTACAATAATACTTAAAGGAAGATCTGAATTGTAAGAAAAAATATGTTTTACATTGAATGCTGATGTGTATAAAAATGGTTCCAATATAAAATAAAGATAAAATGTTTCCCTGAGGTAAAAGATAGGCACACTTACTGTCCATCATAAAAGACTTGAATTCTCTAATTGCAAGTTTCCTCTTCTATAATGCAACCATTGTGTGTGTAAGTCACCTGACCTTTCTTGCATCACCCTGTGGCTTAAGGAACTGATGTGAATGCTGACATTCTAGCTGTCACTATTGCTCTAAGTAACAAAGACACTTGTGTTTGATCCAAGAATCTTGAGAATTCAAAAGTACAGTGACATCCCAGATTCTTCAGTTCTTGGTAATCTCAACCTCACATTATATAGAAAAAATAATTCCAGATATATTAAAAACTTTGGGAAAGGTCAAACTTCAAGTATTATAGAAGGAATATAAATGGATATCTGAGAAACTTATCATAAAAAGAATAAAATACGATAAACTATAAATAAAATTATTAATAAAATAAACTATAGTAAATTTAATGTTAAAAGATATAATAATAAAAGTCTAAAAAAGTGGGTCACAACTTAGAAAATACATTTGAAATACATAATCAGTGAAAAATTTATTCAGAATCTATAGTTATTTGAAAATCAAGAAAAAAGTCAAAAAACCCAACAGAAAGACGAATATATATATATATATATATATATATATATATATATATTATATATAAAATTTATATAAAATAAATAAAATTTTAAAAGGCCCATAAACATATAGGTAAGTTATTATCACATTGAGGTATCATTTTATGTTAAAAAAAAATTAAAAAACCCTGAAAAGTATGATATTATTTTCAAGTTGATTGATCAGTTGGTTGGAATATTTATGCACTACTGATATTCATAAAATTGGAACTAAATTTAGGGGGGAAATAGAGTTATTTAATAAAGTTGCACCCAGTACATTATGCAATAATTTTGAAGATATACACATATTTCAGACAAACTCTTGATTTACTACCAGGTTACATGTGCAAGAAATTCCATTAGGACATTTCTACAATAATAAATTTTTTTAAAAAAAATGAAACAAACACTGGAAGAAAATCCAAACATTCATAAATAGAACAATTAATAAATAAATTTTGGTATATTACTTTAGTAGAATACCATATAACAAATAAAATTGTTGAATAGAGTAACAAGTATCAGCATGACATGGTCAATGAACAAAAATAAGTTATTATAACTTACTCATGAATGTTTAAAAATACACACAACAATATATTACTGAAGATTACTACTTTTCCATCATAAAACTACAAAGAAAATAAAGCAAAATTCAAGAGTCTGGCTAACTCTGTTTGGGAGATGAGAAATGCCCCTGGGAAGGGGCATATAGGGAATTCCAAAGGTGTCAGTTTTGTTTATAAAGTTGAACGGATGGGGCTCTCCATATTTGTCACGTTACATAAACCCTATGCATATGAAATATATACTATTTGATTTGGCTGAAATATTTCATATAAAAGACTTGGGGAATGCTCAATGATCCTTCCAATCATCCCCTTGGCATTGTGTATACGTGGAAGCTTGGAACCAAAACACTCCCAGTCGCCTCTAGCAGGGGAATGCTCTTGAAGAGAAATGCTGAGGAGTGTAAGACAGGAGGAACCAGAAGCTTTATGACAACATTAGAGTACTGAACTAGAAAATTCTAGAAATTCTGTCCTTTTCAGTTGTAGGTTGGTTATATGGGAAAATAAAACGTCTACAGGGGGGGAAAATAAGGACAAAATATGATCAGTAAATAAAAAAGCAAAACAACAAAAGAAGAAATTTACTCCTCAAAATTTAAACAGATTATTTTATTGCATTTACAGGAGAATTTTATGTATACTTTTGCCACATATTACTTTTAACTTTTTTTTAAAAAAAAGTAAAGGGTTTTTTTATTTTGTTTTTGTTTTTGTTTGGGGGGCATGGGTACTGGGGATTGAACTCAGGGGCACTTGACCACTGAGCCACATCCCCAGCCCTATTTTGTATTATATTTAGAGACAGGGTCTCACTGAGTTGCTTAGCACCTTGCTTTTGCTGAGGCTGGCTTTGAACTCTGGATCCTACTGCCTTAGCCTCCTAGGCCCCTGGGATTATAGATATGCACCACTATCCTGGGCCAAAAAAAAAAAAAATTACTTTTGATTCCAGTATAATTTAAACACAGCACAATGAATTGTAAGGGGAAAAAATGTTCTTAATTATCAAGGTTGATGAGTTTAGAAAAATGAATACATCTTTGTAATTCACATTCCAGAGGAGATAAAGAGCAGTCTGGAAACTCTGCATGCCCTTATCTCAACAATCCTCCCTATCCTCTAGACAAAAGTTGTTTTAACTTCTTTCCCTACAGATTTGTTCTGTCCTAAAACACAAATGACATCACACAATATGTCCTCTTTTTTCTGCGTTCTTTTGCTCAACAACATGTTTGCAGTATTCCTCCACGTTGGTGTATGTATCAGTAGTTGTCCCTTTTTATCACTAAGACACACTGTCCTCTTTATATGCACTCTGATTTTGGATATTTTAGGTATTCCCACTTTTGGGATATTATTAATAATGCCATAATTATCATTTATGTACCTGTCTTTTGAATAAATGTGTTTTCATTTCTCTTGGGAAAAATACCTAGAGAAGGAATTGATGAATCATAAGACAGGAATATGTTTAACTTATGAAAAACTGCCAGACCCATTTTCAACTATAGTATGGTTTGGATATGGTTTGAGCTTCCTCCTCAAAGGTTCATGAGTTCTACAGTGTAGCACTGTTCAGAGGTGACGGAATCTTTAAGAGGTGGAGCCAATGGGAAATAATTAGGTCACCCTTGGAAAAGATTAGTCTCCTAGAACCCCAGTTTGTTCTCATGGCAGTGAATTATAAAAAGAACAGGACTAGACCTTTCCCTTGCTCTGCCTTCTCTCTAACCACATGGTCTTTCTTGCAAGTGCTCTATTGTAATGCCA